GGCGGCATCCCAGTTTGCTTGACTTGTCCCAACTCCCCTGGACATCTTATATAAAATCCGGGTGATATAACTAAGGTGAGCAGAGCACAGCTGTCGGGGGCCCTCAGGCGCATAAAGGAGAGCCAAGCATGCCCTGGGCCCCTGGGACTGCTGCCCGACCCCCCTCCTGGAGGCAGCGCGAAGACACAGCCCCCTCCAAGCCAAGGACAGAGTCCCCCACAGCCTCAGAAGGAACCAGCCCTACCCACACCTCGATCTTGGACTCCCGGCCCCTGGAGCTGGGAGAGAACAAATTTCTGTTGTTGGAGCCCCAGTGTGTGCGCTTGGCTGTGACAGCCTCTGGCAAACGCGCAGTGAGGGACTGTTTAGGCTCTCGTTCGTGGCAGCAGGGAGACGGTTCATGGCGACGACTGCCCCGCTTGGGTCTGCGTCCTGGCTTAGCCAGCGACCGGACCCTCCTGTACTGCAGTTTCTTGACCTGGAAAATGCAGACAAGAAGCTACCACATGGGACTGTTGTCCAAACAAGATGAGTGTCTTAGAGCAGCACTGGGCGAGGCCAGCCCTCCGGAGCACCAGCTGTTTCCAACAGCCGCCTTTATCTAACTTCAGGCCGTGGGCCCGGAGAAACGCTTCCTTCTCCCAGACTCCCCGGCAGTCTGGCTGAGTTTGGGCAACAAACAGTGGCGTGAGGGCCGGGGCTGGCTTCCAGAGGGCCTGAGAGATGCTACCTCCCTTTTCTCCCCACCTAAGGGTGTCCTGGTTGATCCTGAGCCACAGGTGCCGCAGAATGACAGGGGAATGCTCACAGTCTTCCATGAAAATGTGGAGCCCACTGTCTGTTGTCCCCAAGCCCTGGGGCCCCATGGAGACCCCATGGAGACCCCACTTGTTCTTGGTGCCTGGTTGCCACCCACAGCCCTCCCCTCCCCCATGGACAGGGAGCCTGCTCTAGGACCCTGGTCTTCCAGATCTGTGTGCAGGGGATGGGCCGTACTGGGAGCTGCAGGAGCCGGGGCTGGCAAGGTGCAGCCTGGGGGAGGACCACTGGGTGACTTAGGGCCATTCTCCATCCTGTCCCTGCAGAGTTTGTGAAGCTTGCAAGTGCTGAGCAACAAGAACGCATCTGCCGGCTCCACCTGGCCACCAGTTGATGCCGAAAGCCCACAGGCCTTTGCCGCAGCAGATGGAGAGGCACAATCAGATCCCCTCCCCACACTTTTTTTCATGTCCAAAAAAGGAAATGAACAACTTCCAGCCAAAGCCACTGCTAATGAGCACACCAGGGCAAGTGAAGTTTCCCCCCAACTGGCTAAATTCTCCCCAGCCGGGAGAAAAGAACCCAATCTACCTCACCAAGAACTTCAACTTGATGACAAAGAACCCTCAGCCGCCTGGAGAAAACAGGGACCAACCGAGGACAAAGGTGAGTCGGAGGGAGTATGGTCAGGGAGGGCACATTCTAGCCTCCAGGCAGAGGAAGGGCAGCGAGTGGCTGTCCATGAGCCCACCACCTCTGACATCGCAGCTGGTGTCCCCCAGCTCTCCAGACACGTCCAACGAACACCAGGGACATACCCAGTCTCTGGGGCAGCAGTGACCTTCCTAGATGTGCATCTGGGGGCTTCTGTTCTGTGTGTTGGGGTCTGTTTCCAGGAGCTTTTCCTCCAGCTACTCCTGCCACTGGCACCATTGCCAGCCCCCCGCCAGCTCTGCAGCCCCAGGGCCCAGAACCCCTCCTGCCTCTGGCTGGGAGTTCCCACCTCTTGGTACCTTGTCTCTGCTCAGTCAGGCACCTCCACCCCTAACCCAGTATCCCCGCCTTCAGCAGAAGCAAAGCCTCAATAGAGCAGAAGGCAGGGGCCTCCCGGAGGCCCAGCTAGGTCCAGCCCTCACTGTCCGGCCTGCGGCTCACCACGAGCAGACGCCCGAAGTCTGCAGCAAACTCCCCACAGCCAAGGAGCCTCCTCAGAGGCCAAGGACGTGAAGTCCGTTCTGCCTCTTCCAGGGGCTCGAGAACAACCTGTACAGCCAGTACGAGGAGAAGGTGCGCCCCTGCATTGACCTCATCGACTCCCTGAGGGCCCTGGGCGTGGAGCAGGACCTGGCCCTGCCCGCCATCGCCGTCATCGGGGACCAGAGCTCGGGCAAGAGCTCCGTGCTGGAGGCTCTGTCCGGCGTCCCCCTTCCCAGAGGCAGCGGTAAGCAAGAAGGGGCGGCTTCTCCCCGAGGCGCCAGGGGCGGGCCAGCCACCTGCAGGCCACGGCGTGTCTGTGGGAACCTGGGCACCGATGGTGTCAGAGACAGGCCGATGGGAAGACCCCCGGGAGGGCAGCTCCTGCAGGCCCTGGATGGCTTAGGTCTGGGGTGCATAGCCTGGGTTGGGGGGGGTCCTGGACGACCCACGCTGCCCCTAGTTTCCCAGGTCCACTTTCACATGGTGATAGCCATCCCTGCCCTAAGTCCCTCAAGGTCCCGGGACCCTGCTGTTTCTCCCTAGTGGTCTTTGTCAGAGTGTAGAAACATTTCTTTGATTGCATAAAATCTGTAAGCTTCAGGTGACATGTGAAGTCCTTTTAAAGAATTTTCACAACATTTTGAGAAGCTATTAGCTAAGAGCATGTGTGATAAAACACTTGTTTTCCTTTAAAAAAAAAAAAAAGAGGCTGCTGTACAATTTAATAAAATAATTATAAAGGGGAAAAAAAGCAGAAAAGACACGATATCCCCAAAGTGGGTAGATGGAGCCCCATCCCGCCTCTCCCTTGCTCTTACCTCCCGCCAGACCCAGGGGCCAAGAGGCATTGACACCTCCCAGGCCCAGAGGAGGGTGTGCGGACACCAGGAGGCTGCACCCCCCAACAGTCGTCTGCACCCCCCAACAGTCGTCTGCACACCAGAGCCCTGGCCTGTGCCCCTCCCTGCCGCGGGCAGCCGATTCTTCACTGCGGGGGTCCCGTGAGGTCCCCATCAGCCTGGCACCTGGTGCTTGAGAGGAAGCCTGGGGCCGGCACTCCCCTCTGCCCTGGGTTCAGCATTGCGGGGAGAGGCATGACTGCGAGAGCCTGGAGCCGGTGCCCAGGCAGGGGGAGGGGACGGCCCTCCCTCTGGAACAGCACTCACTCCCCACCCTGCAGACACTCGGGGAAGCCCCAGGAGGCTCAGGGCAGCTCCGTCTGCACCTGGAGTGTCCTCCCTCCCCACCAGGCACCTCCATAGGCACCCTGCAAGTCCCTTGGGCCCCTCCTTCCGGCTGTCCAGCTCCTCCCCAGGCTCCCGCTGCCTCCTCCCCGCATCTTAGGAGGGTTGGGTGACCTTCGTTGTCAGGTGAATCTCACTACTTCCATCTGTCCCCCCCCTGGGCTGCCACCTGGATAAACGCAGGTCCCGAGGCCAGCGCCCGAGGTGTTCCTAGGGCCAGGTAGTGAGGGAGGGAGGCCTGGATCGGGCCCTAGACAGGGACAGAAATTTCAGACGAGGCCTCTGGGGACACTGGGGCAGCTCCTGAGAGGTGAGAGCAAAGGGCACCTGTGACACTTCTCTTTAAAGGAAACTTAGGGTGTCTGGGAAACTCTCTCTCAGGAATCGTAACCAGATGTCCGCTGGTGCTAAAGCTGAAAAAGCAGGTCACAGGAGAGTTCCAGTGGACGGGGAAGATCAGCTACCGGAACACGGAGATCCTGCTTCAGGACCCCGCCCAGGTGGAGAGGGAGATATACAAAGGTAAGGCCCGGCTCCTGCAGGCGGTGCCGGGGCCGCCCCCCTCCCCGCCTCGCCTCCAGCTCCTCCTGGTCGTCGGGCTCCTTCAGTTGCACAAGGGAGCTTCCTTCCAGGGGCTTCCTTGCTCTCACACTGCCCCCTCCTTCCACCTAGTTCCGATTCTTTCTTTGGGTCTCAGTTTACCCCGCAGGACCCCACCCTACACCGCGGCTGTCCTGGTCACCGCCGTCTTGAGTTGCTGCTCTAACCTCGCCCAGGCTGGCCGCCTGGTGGCCATGTCTCCACAGAGCTTCCCCAACACATTTCCCAGCCACCTGTCATTTCTGGAAGCCCAGCCATCACTGGGCCCATGCACAGTTTACCAAAGCTCGGGATTAGTGTTAGGGAATGACAGGATGGACGCTTCCACACGCCCCAAGAAGGGCCCTGGCGGTCACTGCCCTCCTGCGACACTAGAGCCTGCCCAGCCCCCTGGGTGGCTTCTTCCCTTTTCTGGTCTCCGCCAGGTGGCAAAAGTGACCCTGATCATAATAAGAATCTTCAGGGACAACCTCAGTTCCAGGATGATGGGCTTTTCATATTAGTAAACGAAGAGCTCAGCCTCCGAGGGTGAGGCCCTCACGTGACTTCCTGGGCTCAGCCCCCAGAGAGCCACATCTGTGGGTTCACCAGAGGGATCCTGTCCAAAATGGAGAGGCCCTGGCCCCAACCCTAGTGTTCACCCCAAATACAGAAGCTACTTGAGACTCTCCTAGCTTGAAATTCCGTGAGCTCTGTGGCTGGCGGTGCCCACGATGGCCATCCTGGGGCCGCCTGGCACCCTGGTGTTCACTGGCGCCTGTCCTGAGCTCCGGGGCAGGACCAGGTGGGCTGGGCGCTCCCCGCACAGCAGAGCTCGCGCACTCGGTGCGTCCCTGGCGAACCTTCTGTGTGAGGACGTGTGACACGCAGGCTCTCGCCGAGGCACCTCCAGAGCAGCGGCTGCAACGCCCATCTGCTGCTGGTGGGGGTGGAAGTTGGGGCGACCACTTTGGAAACTGGCAATTTCCCCCAAGGCTGGAGGTGTGCACACCTGGGTGCCCCTCCCTGAGTACCACCTGGCCAGAACGTGCCCCAAAAGCCAGGTTCTGGGATGTTCGTGGCAGCACTGCTTGTGACAGCCACACACTGGGGACCGCCCGGATGTCCCTCAGCAGTAGACCTGATCAAGTTCTCTATTGCTACACAACTAATAACCCCAAAATTTAGCAGGTTAAAACAGAAATATTTATTCTCTCACACGGTGTGTGAGGGTCAAGAATTAGACACATCAGCTGGGTGGTTCTGGCTCAGGGTCTCCAGTGAGGCTGCAGTCGAGATGTTGGCTGGGGCTGAATCAACTCTGAAGGCTCGACTGGGGCTGGTGAACTCTCCCTCACATGGCCATTAGCAGGAGGCCACAGTTTCTTGCTGTCCACTGGCAAAGATGCCTTGATCCTCCCGCTGTTGTGAACCTCTCCGTAGATACTTAGTGTCCTTATGGCGGGGCAGTTAGCCTCACCCAGAGTGAGCCATCCAAGAGAAAGCAGGAGCAAGCCACGATGCCTTCACGACCTAGTCACGCTGTATTTTCCACCATCTCTATTCTTTAGACGTAAGTGCTTCTGTCCAGCCCCCTCTCAAGGCTCCACCTTTTGGTCAGAGGGGTGTTGAAGAATTTGTGGACCTACTTTAAAACCATCACAACACCCAATGAAAAATACTTAAAAACATAAAGAAAGAGAACAGAACCCATCCACAATGCCAACGTAAACAAATTGGTATGTTTTCCTCCAGGATTCTTGAGAGCATATGTACATGCTATCCCTGTATACACGGCCACCTTAGTGGTCTCAGATCACCCTGCAGGCTTCTGTGAAATGTTTCTACACACCAGGGACTCTCTAAAGCTCTTATACTCTGAATATGAATAGTTACCATCAAGAACAACTGCTTTTTCTCAGATGGTTCATTAATTTGGACTCTGGGTTTCTCCTCTTGGCCTCCATAGCCCAGAACATCGTCGCCGGGAATGGAGTTGGCATTAGCCACGAGCTCATCAGCCTGNGTAGCCCAGAACATCATTGCCGGGAATGGAGTTGGCATTAGCCACGAGCTCATCAGCCTGGATATCACCTCCCCTGAGGTTCCAGATCTGACCCTCATTGATCTTCCCGGCATTGCCAGGGTGGCCGTGGGAAATCAGCCCCAGGACATTGGACTGCAGGTAAGCCTTTAGGAACTTGGGAATGGGCCAAGCTGAAGTTGGGGAGACTGAGGCCTCTGCCAGTCACCGCAAGGTCCCTGGTGTGCCTCCCCACCCTCACTGTGAGAGATTGGGAAGGAGACTGGGCTAAGACCTCCTGGACAGGGGCCTTATACTCAGGATCTGACGAGCCTGGCAGGTGATGGAAACAAGAGAAGCTGACTTGGTGGGAATGAGGGTGCATGGGACAGCTCACGTCCTGCCTAACATATGAGAATGTGGGCTCTGTTACCAGCTGTCTCAAGATAGTCAAAAGAAGCCAGAGATTTGAATTTGCACATGAAATTGAAATCTGCCAATTTTAGCAACAATTTTTAAAAAATTAACACTGCATAAAATATCAGAACATGCTCTGTGATGGCTGATCGGGGGCAAGAAGGCCAGAGCAATGGGAGAGGATGACAGCCACGGGACAGCAATGACCCAGTGCAAACCAAGAGCCTCTGAGCCCGTGGCTTCTTTTCCAAAGACCTTCCCACTTAAGGTTGCTTGAGAACAGTCTTGCTGGGATGTTTGAGTCACACCTGATCTTTGGGCAAGGCCTGTCCCCAAACTAACCCTGTGAAGCTTTGCTAAGCCAGCTCACATGGAAACCAGGGAGGTAAGGATGGTCTCAGGAGCAAGGGTGGGGTCCAGGGTATGGAGGCGGAGGGTGAGTGAGGGGGAGAAGATGAGACCCTCCTATGAAAGGGAGTCACTTGCCTGCCCTCTTCCCTTTTATGGGGGACACTGCCAGTGTTGGGAACCCAGCCATAGCCAAACTTGGGGTGTGGCAGGAACCTCCCTAGTGGGGTCTCTGCTGGCTCTGATGCTCTGGGCAAAATCTTGGGCAGTTAAATGTTGGTTCCTCCTCAACATCCGAATCACTGTTCTCTGTCTCCAGGAGCAGGGTAATTAGCTAATTTTCCTTACCCAGTTAGTAGCTAATTCCACTCTTCTCACCCGCCAGGAGGGTGTTGATTCATCCATGCAATGGGTGGAATTTCCTAGCATCCCTGGCTTTCTGGCACAGGTACAACATAACTAAATCATGCTAATAGAGTAATAATAATCTCAGAAGCCTCCCAGGAGAGATCTGGAGAGGAAGGAGAGGTTTCATCTGGCTACAGGAATCAGAGCCCTTGAGAGAGAAGCAATATCAGTGATAGGCTTTGAGGGATAAATAGAAAATCAACAGAAAACTCCGTAGGGCAGGTAGGGTGGACATTCCAGTGGAAGGGGACAGGCCAAGCCACCGCTCCGAAGTGTGAAAACTGGGTCATGTTCTGGGACGACATTGGTTTCTGCAACGACAGGGGTCTCGCTGTGCTGTTGGGTAATCAGAGACGTGTTCTTCCTTTGTGGGATTCCTCGGCATCAGATCAAGATGCTCATCAAGAAGTACATCCAGAGGCAGCAGACCATCAACTTGGTGGTGGTCCCCTGTAACGTGGACATCGCCACCACAGAGGCGCTGAGCATGGCTCACGAGGTGGACCCCGAAGGAGACAGGACCATAGGTGAGAAGGAAGAATGAGCCCTGGCAGGTGTGGCTTAGTTGGTGAGTGTTGTCCCATGAGCCTGAAGGTCCCTGGTTCGATTCCCGGACAGAGCACCTGCCTGAATTGCAGGCTCGGTCCCCAGGGGGAGGCGTGCGGGAGGCTGCAGGTCCATGCGTCTCTCTCACACTGACGTTCCTCTCTCTCTCCCTCTCCCTTCCTCTCTCTCTAAAATCAATAAAAACATATTTTAAAAGAAAAGAGGAGAAAAAAAGAGCCAAGCTTCCAGGAGACGGTTGGCGGGGGGAGATCCTCATACGTGTAGCAGGTCCTGGAGTTAGGTCCACTGTTAGAGGCGCCCACATCCTGGGCAACACCCAAGTGCTGTCCTAGCAGAAGCTCCGTGGGCTCAGGGTGCATTCGTGCAGCACAGACGGTCATCTTCACTCCCAATCAGGGTTAGATGAGCTGCCAGAAAGTGCCAGGAGAGCTTCTTAGAAACACAGTAATGGAGCCGGTCGCTTGTGATGACACCTGCTGCCCAAGTGCAGGCACAAGGCAGGCACCCAATGACCTCTGTTAAGTAAATTACATAAGGCAGTTAGTGAACTGAATGAGGGGGGAGCAAATCTGAGGGGCAACGACAGAATGAATGAATGACTGGCAGGCACTGGGCAACCAAAGCTGCAGAAGACTTTGTTCGTCCTGGCCAAGGAAGAATCCCATAGCCCAGCAGGGTCCAAATATATCTGAGAAGAGAACTGACCTTTGCATGCCCTTCTTCAATCATCTCACAGGGATCCTGACCAAGCCGGACCTGGTGGACAAGGGTACCGAGAAAAATGTGGTGAACGTGGTGCAGAACCTCACTTACCGTCTCAAGAAGGGCTACATGATAGTGAGGTGCCGGGGCCAGCAGGAGATCACAAGCCAGCTGAGCCTGGCTGAGGCCACCAAGAAAGAAATGATGTTCTTCCAGACCCATCCATATTTCAGGTGAGCGTCTGCAGGACGGCCCCAGAATTGGGCTCCATGGAAGCCAGCGCCGCCTCCCAGAATGGGCCAAGCTGAGAACCAAATTGCATATAAAAACTATACAAGGTAGCAGAGCCTATCCTTGGCTGTATTTTAGTGTTAAATTCATTGGCTTGTTGAAACAAATCATTTCTTCATGGGCTGTAATGACGGTGTTGATTAAAAGTTGTAACACGCGTTCCATAGAGCGTGGGGCACTCTGGTTTTTTCAGAATGTTTCACCTGCTTTCTCATTTGCATCCCACAAAATCTCAAGAGATACCTATGGCAGGTGAGGTTCTTCCCACTTCTGTAGGTAATGGGAATGAGGTGAGGCCGCTAGTGAGGGAAACAGGACTGGAAATAGATCTCTTAGCTTCCAGAAAGCAATGCTCACCACCACAAATGGTGCCTGTTAAAACCAACTTTAGGGCACTCTCCACCGTGTTAGAGCCTGTAAACTAACTGGTTTTATTAAATATAGATTATTCGGTAGAGACACAGCAGTTTGCAAACACTGGGATTTTTCCCACTGAATTGCGCACTTTGCCCTATCATTTTATTCAGGAACCTGATGGTCCCAAAGGATGTGGGAGCAGCAGAGTGAGATACAGCGGTCACTCCTGCTTTTTTTTTTTTAATCAAAACCTCTGGGGTGGGGCCCAAGGATCAATGTTTTTATTTTTATTTTATTTTCATTTTTTAAAATATGTTTTTATTGATTTCAGAGAGAGGAAGGGAGAGGGAGAGAGAGATAGAAACATTAATGATGAGAGAATCATTGATCGGCTGCCTCCTGCACACCCCCTGCTGGGGATCGAGCCCGAAACCCAGGCCTGTGCCCTGACCAGGAATTGGACTGTAACCTCCTGGTTCATAGGGTGACGCTCAACCACTGAGCCATGGCAGCCATGACACTCCTGCTTTAAGGGGAGATGCAGTGGGCTCCCAGAATTTGGACAGACCAGGTCTGCTACTGGCCATGTGCCCTTGAGCAGTGGCTCAGCCGCTCTGAGCTCGTGCTTTCTCATCAGCTCAGGGAGCGCTGTACAGCTACTCAAAGGACTGTGTTTTGGATGAAATAATATGACACAGACAAAGGTTCTGGTGCACCAAGAGCCAGCACTCCATAAATACCACCCGGTTCCTTCTTTCTTCCTCTCTACTCTTGCCCTGGATGGGAGAAACAGATCATTTACAATAGCTTTGGGGGCCCACAAGAAGAGGGAAACTGCTCACTGAGCAGGGAGAAGATTCTGTGAAAATCACACCCGTGGTTCTTAACCCTGAGCAGCAAAGCGTCCTGGAGAGTTTGTTAAAATCCAGCTGGTTGTGTTCTGTTCCAGAGTTTCTGAGGACTGGGGTGGGGACTAAGAGTTTGTGTTTCTATCAAGTTTCCAGTTGAGGCTGGTATTGCTGGTCCAGGGACCACACTTTGAAAAACCACTGCTCCAGGGTTTGGGGAAAGTGAAGTCAACTGTGAGCTCTCTTTTGTTCTGCAGTCTCTAGACTCACTGAAACCTGATGCCCGTTGATGATCAGCTCCCTGTTTCCCACTCCCCAACCCTGGCGACCGCCATTCCACTCTCAGATTGTGTGTTTGATTATTAGATTTCCTGTGTAAGTGGAATCAGGCAGTGTTTGTCCTCCTGTGACTGGCTTTTGTCACTTAGCATAATGTCCTCAAGGTTCATTTGTGTGGTCATATATGACAGAATTTTCTTCTTTTTAAGGCCGAATCATATTCCATTGCATTGTTAAAATCAAACACAAGCTGGCTGGGTTGGCTCAGTGGTTGAACGTCAACCCATGAACCCCAGGATGTCACGGTTCAGTTCCCAGTCGGGGCACATGCCCTGGTTGTGGGCTTGACCCCCAGTAGGGGGCGTGCAGGAGGCAGCTTACTCTCATCATTGATGTTTCTATCTCTCTCTCCCTCTCCCTTCCTCTCTCTGAAATCAATTAAAAAAACACATGCACACACACAAAAAAACATAAATGGAGGCCAGACTTGGAAATTCCCTGAGCAGACAAAACCAGATTAGTCATACAGGCAAATGCCTAATTTAGCTTATTTAACAAGACAAACAAGTGCCCACAGGAGTGCTCCTCTTGCTTATGCTTCAGAAAATCATAAATGAAATTTAAATTGTTCCCAAAAATTGGTACGAGGGAACCACAAACCGATTTCCTTACGCTTAAGAAAATTCTAATGCTGGAACCGATCACCGTGAAGAAAAACTGTCACTGCTTTCTCGCTACACGCTGCTTTATAACAGCGTGTCCCCGAGTCTCCCTCCAGGTCTGGGTTCGAGTTCTCCTTGTTTGCAGACTTTCTCTTTGCCGTATGCACAATACACTTTTACCGATTACTACTTCCATGGTCCACTGGTTTTGCTTCTGTTTTCTTAGGAACTTTTGACACTGAGAGATAGCGTATTTTATTTGCCCACTCATCTGCCCAAGGGCACGTAGGTTATTCCCACACCTTGACTATTGTGAATAGTACTGCCGTGGACATAGAATGCTACCATTTCTTTAAGATCTTGATTTTAAAGATCTTTTGGATAAATATGCATAAGTGGGACTGCTGGATCTTATGGTGGTTCCATTTTTAACTTTCTGAGAAACTTCCCTACTGCTTTTCGTAGTGGCTGCACCATTTCGCATTGCCACCAGCAGTGTTCAAGGGCTCCAATGGTTCCATCACCTGTCTTTTGTGGTTTTTTGAAATAATATCTATCCTAACAGATGTGATATCCCATTATGGTTTTGATTTGCATTTTCCTGACGATTAGTGATGTTGAGCATTTTTTCCATCTACCTGTTGACCATGTGCATGTCTCCTTTGAAAAAATCACTATGCAACTCTTTAGTTCATTTTTTAAATTAGGTTATTAGTTTTCTTTTGGGGGAGGGTTGCTATTGAGTTGTAGGAGTTACTTCTATATTTTGAAAGTTAACCCCTTATCAGATACATTGCTTGCAAATATTTTCTCTCCTTGACCGTTTCTTTGCTATGCAGAAGCTTCTCCGTTTGATATAGTCCCACTTTAGGCTGATTTTGCTTTTCTTGTCTGTGCTTTTGGTGAAATCATTTCCAAGACCAATATCATAAAGATCTCCCCCTGTTTTTTTTTCTAGGAGTTTTACATCTCATGTCTTACATGTAAACCTTCAGTGCATTTTCAGTTGACTTGTGTATGGTATGAGAGAAGGAAGCAATGCCATTCTTTTGCATGTAGATACATAGTTTTCCCAACATCATTTGTTGGAGAGATTGCCCCGTCCGCATGGCCCATTCTCAGCACCATTATTGAAAATCGGTTGCCTGTATGTTCACGGATTTATATCTGGGTTCTCTACTCTGTACATGTCTGTGTTTACACTAGCACCATACTCTTTTATAATAGTGAACTGTAGCTTTGTAATATATAGGGTGTCCCCCAAAAAATGTATACACACACTCTGAATAATTATAAAGACAGTGTTTATTAAAATACATTTCATTTTCAAAATCGACCTGTCAGCTGTTAAAGCGTGTACACATTTTTTGGGACACCCTGTATTTTAAAGTCAGGAAGTGTGACGCCTCTGGCTTTCTTCTTTTTTCTCAAGATTGATTTGGCTCTTCAGGGATAAATATTTGTTACAAGAAATAAAATACTAGTTTGGACAAGTTACTCCACTTCTACGAAGATAGGTTTGTTTTGTTTTCCTGCAGATAAAAAGATCACTTACCTCATCCGCTCGTTGGAATGAAAAAGAGACAATGAATGTAACCTTCCTCGCACCGCACTTGCCTAGCTATGGGCTCAGCTCATACTTAGCAATTGTCTTTCTCACGCACTGTGGGGCCTTTCTGATGCCATGTGTCACCTACCCACTTACCAAGCCCGGGGCTGGGAAAAGGACCATATGGGCCCCTCCCGAATTCACGTGCCCTGTCTTCTTTCAGAGCCCTCCTGGAGGAAGGAAAGGCCTCCGTGCCCCGCCTGGCGGAAAGACTCACCACCGAGCTCATCTCGCACATCAGTGTGAGTCAAGGGTTGGCTGCAAGTTGTAAAAGTCACAGTCTGCTTAAACCAGTCCCTCGGGGCATGAGTGGGCTGACACGGCACGGAACTGCCCAGATAAGCAAACAAACAAGCACGCTCTGCAAATCAAATTGCGCCTGGTCAGAGGCTCCCGGGAGGTCTTGAAAGGAAAAGTTGAATCAGTGCGTTGGGGGGAAGCAGAAAGACAGCCCATAGCACCAGCGCGGCAGCAAAGAGGAGTGAGCACCAGGTCCGCACAGTTTTCTTGTTTCAAGAGGCTCTTAACACTTCACCGTACGGAAAACACTTTCCCAGCCTCAAACTTGTAAGAAATCCGTGTTCGATTTTCACTGATTCTCAGAAATGAGCCACTGCAGACAAACTTTTCACGGTGTCATTAAAGATGACACGAATGTGACTTCAGGCTTCTTGAGACATGGAGTATTCACAGGGTTGCCTGGACCCTTGTTCACGAGGGTGGACAGTGCGGCAGGACTGAAGGTTAACCTTTGGAGCAGAGATGGCCCCAGGGCCGGGCTCCAGTCCATGCTAAGTTGCGGGTCAGACAAAAACAATGAATACTTTTGAGCCAGGAAACACATACTCAAAACATTCAGTTGGCCCTGGCCAGGCAGCTCACTTTCATCCCATGAAACAAAAGGTTGTGGGTTCGATCCCTGGTGGGGGCATGTATGGGAGGCAACCAATCAATGTTTCTCTCTCACGTCAATGTCCCTCTTTCTCTCCCCCTTCCTCTCTCTCTCTCTCTCAAAAATCAATTTAAAAAAACATATCCTCGGGTGAGACTTAAGGAAAAAACCCCTATTTGGTTAGAAGAAGACGGTGGTTCTGAAATTGTCGTGCTCATGAGATTCACCTGGAAATTTCATAAAACTCATATTCCGGGGCCCCAGACCCAGAGTTTCTGAGTTCGAAGGTCTAGGGCGGGGCCCATGAGCTTGCACTTGTGAGTCCCCAGGTGATCTAAGGAACACACTCTGAGAAGTAGTGATTCTGGTGGACTCCCCTCAGTATGTAGGAGGCTCCAAAAGATAAAAGCCTGATTAATGGGGAAAAAAACACACTTTTTTTTTGGAAAAAGATGTTGACGGTTATTAACATTTAAATTTTTTACATTAAAATTTGAATTTAAAATTTGTAATACTTTAAGTTCATTTCTTTAATGTATATCAAGACTCAATTATGGTCATTCTAGTTTCAAATATCAAAGGCTAGAAACAACGTGTGGCCCGAAGGCAGCTCTCCCCAGTGCCGCTCCCGGTCCTCTCTTCTCGCCGTCTTTGTTCTCATCATTGGCATCATGATTGGTTAGGACCGCACCCCAACACCCAGGACATATCTTCTACCAAAGTGCCATTTATCAGAGTATAACCTTCAAATTATCACCAACAGAACATTTTGCTAAAGAAAGCTTACATTGTATTCAAGAGTAATTGCTCTCAAAATACAAAACCTTTATCCAAACCAAACAAAACCCAAAATCTGTCCATCCCCCGATACCCGATTCCTCCGCAGTCCCACTGCGCAACAGCGCTGCAGATTCTGTGGACACCCCAGCTGCAGTGCAGCCCCACTGCGTGCGAAGCCCCCCTCGGGCTCCTTCATCTCAACAAGCGCACCCAGTGACAGAAATTCTGCATCCCCTCGAATGCTTTCCAGTGGGACTCTGCTCATACACCCAGGACATCTGTCAGCTGATTTCAAGCTGTGGAGGTTCACTGGTTGCCCTTTATTTTGTTCAGAAATCACTCCCATTGTTAGAAAATCAGATCAGGGAGAGCCACCAGAGCGCCACAGAGGAGCTGCGCCAGTGCGGAGAGAACATCCCCTGCAACGAAGCCGATATGATGTTCTTCCTGATCGAGGTGAGGATTTCCGGGGACCCCACTGGCCCCCCTTAGGCAGCTGCATCCTTCCAGGTGGCCCTCTGTGCTTGCCCACCTGGGCCCTGCCGGGAGGCCTGTTCTGCCCTCCGCTGTCACCTGGGAGACTGGTTGGGTGGGTAATGCGACCTCCCAGCCCCTCCACCACACTGCAGCCTGGGTCCGGGCCCCTCAATGTGGTCATAGCACCGATGAATGACTTTACTTCATTTTCAGAAAATTAAAGTGTTTAATCAGGACATTGTAAAGTTAGTAGAAGGAGAAGAAGCCGTGAAAGACAAAGAGACCCGCTTATACAACAAACTCAGGGAGGAGTTTAAAAACTGGGCACTTGTACTTGCAGCCAAAACCCAACAAGGTAAGTCCTGGGACAGGGCTGCCCCCCAAAGCAGTGTCTTATTTACCAAGGCCAGAGCTGCTTCTGGCACATAAAACCTGTGCAAAGAGCTAACGTGCCCACACCAGAGATCCTGGGTCATCCATAACCGAGTCCCCAACGCCATCAGCATGGAGCGTGGCCCTCACCAAATCAACAGAAAACACCTCACCTCCCTGACTTTCTTCTCGAACCTTGGTTTTGAGGCTGGACAATTCCACTCCCCCCATTTCTCCGTTCTGGTCACCCATGATCCAAGACCAGAGAGGTCAAAGACTTGATGAGAATCTCCCTGCTCTGCCTGGCATACTTCCAACTTCCAGCCCGGGTGACAGTAGGCTGCGTGGGTGTGCGTGGGTGCGTGTTGCATCTTTGTTCATTCTGACACTTGATAAAAACAGGACTATTCATTGCCATGGTAGACTTCCTCCAGCCCTAGTCTAGCTGAATTCTTGAGAGACCTGTAAGTGAAACAAGAATATATAACTTTCTATTTTCATGGAACTAATCAGCTTCTTTTCTATCAACTATACACAATCAACTTCTCCCGCAGGGTGATGACACACATTTGAAACACATTTTTTTAGAGTAAGATCTTATTTCTTAAAAGTCACTGTCAGACCATGTGTTGTTGGTTTTTTTTTTCCATTATGAAAAGAACTCCTTTTAGAAGCATTGCCTTAGGGTACATACAGTAGGTAAGCAAGATTTTAAAAATGCATTTCTCTTCAACATGTCTGTGGTTTGTTTTATGTTGCAGTTAGAAGTATTATTCATGAGGAAGTCTCAAAATACGAAAAGCAGTATCGCGGCAAAGAGCTCATCGGGTTTGTCAGCTACAAGACATTCGAGACCATAGTGCAGCAATATATCAAACAGCTGGTAGACCCCGCGCTGACCATGCTCCAGAAGGCCGTTGGTGAGCATCTCTCCCGAGGGTCTTTCAAGACCCTCCCGGTCCCCTCCGTGGGGCTCCATGCCTTGGAGGGAGAGACTGGAATGGAATGATCACACACGGCCTGCAGATCTTGTTTGCCCATTTTGGGGAGGAGGGCAAGAGTGTACCCGAGCTCCATCTAATGAGACCTAACCCTCCACACAGCTGTGTGAGAAACAGTGAGATGCCAGCCCTGGGGGTCACGGACTCCATGAAAGGACAGGAAATTGCTGGACCATGCTCAGGGCGGGTGGCAAGGAGGGATTTTGTGTCTCCTTGGGACTGTGTATCATCCCTTCCTTCTCTCTTGGTCTGTAAATCTGGGGAGCACGGCTCAAAATAGGATCATGTACCATGATTTCTCACCCGGATCTTTAAGCCACTTTATTCCTGCTTGCGTTTTACTGAGGCTTGGTTTTTTTTCTTTAATCAGAAATTGTCCGGCAAGCTTTCATTGACACAGCCAAAAAACATTTTGGTGATCTCTCCAACCTTCATCAAACAGCCCGGGTAAGTACCCATAGTTCACCTGCGGGTGCCCTGTACTGGTTTACCTGGGTCTAGCCTTTGAAAGAAGGTGGCTGTGTCCTGTCATTTGGAAATACGAGGCCAAGGTTATAACTGCAGGTGTGCTGGGCTGGCCACTCGTGTGGCATTCTGCTGCTTTGCTTCCGCTCAGGAGTTGGTGGGCGCTTCTGGGCGAAGCGACACAGCACGTGGCCTTGCTCTCTCTCAACCTGTGCATGGCAGGACATAAGCGAAATATGACTGTCCCTAGTGACTGGGCGGTATTTAGGATCTTTTTCCTACACGAAAGACAGCATTGTCTACGAGTCATTGTCCAACATTTTTATTAGTTGGACTTAAAAATATTGCCACAGCTGTGCAGGTCCCCACTTAGCAACTTAGCAACTCTGCCTGAATCCCACTCAGTACGGGAAGAGAGGGGTGAACATGAAAACCCTCCGCTGCCCACGCCTGGCTGCGGGCCAGACCCTCTCTCCATGATCTCACGCGGGCGAGGAAGGAGAATTTCCTCTCCTTTCCCCAGAACACAGCTTGCTTTCTCCTTTCACCTCATTTGCCAGCTGGTGAAAGAGGAATCTCACTTCTGAGCTCTCCAGCTTGCCCAGGGTTTGTGTCTGAGCCCTGGGGTGCCTCACCGTGGGGTGGGTGACAGGCCTGGTCCTTGATTGTCATGTCTCCCTGCTGGCAGCTTCCTGGGCCTCAGCGGTTGGTGCCCTGGGTCCCCTGTGCTCCCAAGTGCAGGGCTGGTTCTCCTGAGCTCTTCTAGGCCAGGCCAGGCCAGGGCATGGGAGCTCTCTGCTGCACCCACAGGCCACCCTGGGGCCAAGAAACCTCCGCACCCTCCGGGGCCCCCACCCCTTGGTGCCATCCTCGGGTAACTAAGAAGTCTCACCATAGCTCCCTGTACCATGCGGGGGCTCCTGGAGCTCTCTGAGGCCACCAGCCTAGAGACTTCCTTCCACCATTGTACTCTGCTCCTCCTGAGCCTTGTCAGAGCCAGGGCCTTGTCACCTCCCATGTCACTCTTCTTGGAAGTGATACACAGGCCATTTCTACTTTTAGGCCCCAAACCTGCGAGGGGGTATGAAATATACATTTTTGTTTGCCACATACACTCCAAAGAAAGAAGACCCAGCCCCTGTGAAACTCACATGCTCACAGCCTCTCTCAGTTTCTCTCTCTCTCTCTGAGATCAGCCTCTGCCATCAATGTACAAAAGTCTGTTTGTAACTCAAAAGCCAAGAAGTGACTTTTCTCCATTATGTCATCCTTTCCTTTCCCATAATGCTTTTGACTATGTGGGTGACACAGGAGTCACAGGATTTCTGGCAAACAAAGACATCAAGCTGTTATCCCACTGTGTTCATTGGCATGGGGTCCTTCTTGAAAGTGTGGATTCAAGCCAACTAGAGAGACAAGGTGATGGACATGAAAGTGTAAACTGAGCCATAGTCGAGGAAGCAGAAAGGTGGTGATGTGAGAAAATGGAGGTCAGGGCAGAGAGAGCAAATGAGTGGAGTCGAGCCGGTGTGGCTCAGTGGTTGAGTGTTGACCCATGAACCAAGAGGTCACTGGTTCGATCCCCGGTCAGGGCACATGACCAGGTTGCGGGCTAAACCCCCAGTAGAGGGCGCGCGGGAGACAGCTGATCGATGACGTTTCTTTCCCATCAGTGTTTCTCTCTCTTCCTCTCCCTTCCCCTCTCTCTAAAAATCAATAAAAACATACTTTAAAAATATTAGAATGGGTGGAGACAGGTGAGACTGGCACAGGCAAGGGGTAGAGTAACAAAGCGAGATCAGTGAGGACGCAGCAAAGGGCGGAGCGAGGACCTTCTGGAAGTCACCGTTTAAAGTCTCGGGCCTCCTTTGACCTTAAATGATTTTTAACTCTGTGTTCAACATCATAGTACTTCCTGAGTTGTTTAAACAACAGGGGGACAAAAAAGGCAATGACGCGCTTCTCTTATGCAACCAGAACAAGATTGAAGACATAAAAACAAAACAAGCAGAATCTGCAGAAAATCTGATCCACCTGCAGTTCAAGATGGAGCAGCTGGTCTACTGTCAAGACCAGATTTACAGCGGGATTCTGCAGAAAGTACGAGAAGAGACGTTAAACCCACCTGAAAACAGTTCACAGACTGCTTCGTTTAAATTCACGTTTTCAAAGACCCCGTCTTCCGTTTCCTCCATCACTGAGATCGGGGTGCACCTGAACGCCTACTTTTCCGTGAGTATGGGCGCCCATGGCCTGTGCTGGGGTGTGCTGATTGAGGGGAGCTCAGCTGAGAGAACGGGGGGCCGCTACTGGGTCCTAAACCCCTTCTGCTCGGATAAACTACTCGTGTATTCTCTATAATCTTACAGGAACCCTGTCAAGACACTTAATTAATTTGCCGCAAATCAGGTTCTTCATGTGGCAGAGCATGTGCTCAAAAGTAACTCCAACCCCAAAGTTCTTAATATTTTATGCTACGCATAAAGTGCAAAAACACTATTATCGGAATATAGCATAATACAACAAAAATACAACTAACCTTACTGGTAATAATTTAGCTTTCCTTGATGTTTAGAAGGCATTCAGCTCCCGAAGTGCCTGAAATTCACCCGACTCACAAAACAGGAACGAAATTCCTTTCCCCAGATTGTGGCCCAACCAACTTCATGGTTTCTAACCCCCCACCCACGGACTAAAGCAGCGATTTTCAACCGGTGCACCACAAGAATTTTTGAAACATGCAATACCTCTTTAGTCAGGGGCACTGACCTTTTTTCCTTCAGATTGTCAAAAAAATGACAACAGCGCCCTAGCCGGTTTCACTCAGTGGTTAGAGCATCGGCCCTCAGACTGAAAGGTCCCGGTCATATACTGGTCAAAGGCACGGACCTCAGTTGCAGACTCGATCCCCGGCCCTGGTTGGGGCACGTGCCGGAGGCAACCAATCTGTGTTTCTCTCTCCCTCCCTCTCTTCCACTCTCTCTGAAGAGCAATGAAAAAATACCCTCAGGTGAGGATTTAAAAAAAAAGACAAGAGCCCGGCCCAGTGTGGCTCAGCGGTTGACCTCCAGGCGATCGAGGTTAGATTCCCGGTCAGGGCACATGCCTGGGTTGCAGGCTCGATCATTGACTGTCTCATTGATGTTTCTATCTCTCTCTCTCTCCCTCTCCCTTCCTCTCTCTGAAATCGATAAAGATATATTTAAAAAAAAAAAAAAAGATAACAGCCAGCACAATAGCTGTCCAGTGTGAATGAACCAAAATTATACCTTTTTTTTGTCAGATCGGCAGAAAATATATTTTTTTTGTGTGCCACAGAGTTTTAGTAATTACTTTATATGTGCCATGAGATGAGAAAGGTTGCAAATCACCAGGCTAAGTATTAGGGCTCACAGAAAGGAAAGTAGATTTTAAACTGCAAAGAAGCCCAACAACTACCAAAGACTTTTCTCGCTCAGAATAAAAAGTTGTTACCCAGATGCGGAGTCCGGCTGCCAGGCACACTGGGTGTGCCTCGGGAGAGAGGGCGTGAGGCGAGGACTGAAGCAGGTCCTGGCCTGTTCCCAGACCGGAGACGGGACCACAGGGCCCAGAGGTCTCTGCAGAGAGGCGGCGTGGGGCCTGGGGAGGCTGGGATTCTCACAATAGCTTTGGGCTTGCCGCCCAGCTGGTGGTTCCTAGTGCCAGAGGGAATGCCTGGGTGGTGAAAGCGGACAGCCCAGACAGAAGCTTCTCGCGGTTTGATACTGAACGTGAGAGGGGTGGACGGGACGGGACCCCCAGGACTCAGCAAGGCGACCACGCGTGCATCCAGAACCCCAAGGCTTCTCTGCAACCACAGCCTTGGGCCCAGACCCCCCTCTTCTTATCCCCTCTTCCAGGAGTTCACCAGTCGTCTCGCCAACCAGATCCCATTCATAATTCAGTATTTTATACTCCAAGAGAACAGCGATTGCTTGCAGAAAGCCATGATGCAGGTACTGCAGGAAAAAGCTCACTATTCCTGGCTGCTGCAGGAGCAGAGCGAGACGGCCCAGAAGAGGAATTTCCTTAAGGAGAAGATCTACCGGCTCACCCTGGCGCGGCAGGCGCTCTGTCAGTTCTCCTCTTAGGGGGCTGGGCAGATGGAAGGGCACCCGAACTTGGGGGCGCAGGAAGTGGCTTCTCACTTGGGGCCAGCCTTTTGCATTGCTGTCTGCCCACCTTCGCTGACCTGCGCTCAGCACCAGAGTTTAGATCTGGAGTCTACCTGCTTAGAGCTGTCACCTCCACCTCCGAGAACAGACGTCTCTCCAGGGCTTGGGCCCATAGCCTCCAGTTGCAGCTTTCTTAATTACTGCGATCAGTCCTTGCTCCTTGGTCTCTCCTCACCCATCAGATTATGAGACCCTGGAGAGGGAAAGTTAGTATTATATTCTTATTTGGTATTTCCAGAATCTTGCATGGCACTGGAGCATAGTAGCCACTCGATAAATGATATCTCATTGAACAAATGAATGATGGAGATTCCCTGAGGCCATGACTGAAATCAGACTTTGTTTGTTGGGGATGGTGCCCCTTAGCTGGTCACTTTCAGATGAATTTGGTCATGCCACCTGCTCTGACCACGTTTCCCAGTCCCCCAGGAGAAATGGACCTGAATGATACTACTATTAATTTATATTGTTTCCCTAGTTGTGACAGGCTCCCATTGCTATGTCTTCTCTTTTTTTTTACCTTTTTATTGAACTTATTGAAATGACATCAGTTATGGGTTAAGTCTTGAAGGGAAATTTAATAATAAACATTTTTTAAATTCAAATATAGAGCTTCACACCAGTGGTCGTCTCTAGATTGGAGGGTTGTAGCTAATTTTAGTTTCTTCTGCACGCTAAGTGATCCCTACCTCCTAGGAATTTTAGGAGGGTTAAGTGAAACCATTTCTACAAACTACCTGTCCCAGAGCATATGTTCAAAAACGCCAGTGATTCTTCCTCCATCAAAGACTCCCTGTTTGATTTACCTCTAGGTCCGCAGCCCAGCCCTCACTCCTAAAGCTCTTTAGCCAGCTCTTATGTTTAGTCCGTTGATAATTTTTGAGCCAGTTTTTGTATACGGTATTAGAGTCCAGTTTCATTCTTGTGCATGTGGGTATTGTTTTCCCAGCCACAGTTGTTCAAAAAAGTGGTTTTTCCCCTCGCTGGCCTTGGCACCCTTGTCAAAAATAATTTGACCATACGTGCAAGGGTTTATTTCTGGGCTCTGTTCTATTCCATTGGTCCATATGTCTGTCCGTATGCCAGTACCACAGTTTTGATAACTGCAGCTTTGCAGTTAGTTTGAAATTAGGAAGTGTGCGTCTTTCAGCTTTGTTCGTCTTTTTCAGAATTGTTTTGGCTGTTTCTGACCCCTTAAGATTCCATATGAATTTTAGGATGGGTTGTTGTTTTTTATCTCTGCAAAAAATGTCAGTGGGATTTTAAAGGAATTGCATTAAATCTGTAGATCACTTTGAGTAGTATTTGCATTTTAACAATATTAAGTCTTCCATTCCATAAGCACAGGATGTCTTTCCATTTATTTCGATCTGTTTTAATTTCTTTAAGCTATGTTTTATAGTTTTCATTGTACAAGCCTTTCACTTCCTTGCCTAAGTTAGTTCCTAAATGTTTTACTGCTCTCGATGCTACTGTGACTGTTTCCTTAATTTTCTTTTCAGATTATTCATTATTAGTCTACAAAAATACAACTGATTTTTATGTGTCGATTTTGTATCTTGTCACTTTATTAAATTCATGTATTAGTTATAACAGGTTTTCTTGTGTGGAATCTTTATGGTTTTCTACATATAAGGTCATATCATCTGTAAGCAGAGATAATTTTATTTCTTTATCTTGCTTAATTACTCAGGCTAGAACTTTCAACGCCGTATTGAATGAAAGTGGTAAAAGTGGGGATCTGTGTCTTGTAAAGTTATTCTGGTTTTAAAGAACTTTTGTCATATTGAAGCTAAAGATGAAGAGAATTTAAAAGACAAAAATTAGTCTTAGTTTAGGTATTTTTCACTTTTTAAAAAATTTGGCTTCTCCCCCTTATTGTATGAGTTAGGTCACATGTACAGATATAGCAGAGCTAAAGAGAAGAATCAAATCTCTTCAATAAATACTGTTGTGAAAATAGTCTGAGAAAAATAAAGGCTGATACTTAATATTTGTTCCATAAATTGTAAATTCAATCTTTCCCTAAATGTTCAATACGTTTGACACATATGTGCGCGCAAACACACAGCCTCTACCAAAACTCCTAATTTACCACCTCAGGACTGATCCCAAAACCCAGGTTTGAGGTGTCCCAGGAAGATCCTTGGGGTCCGGTGTATGAGTTTCCAGGGGCTCCCATAACAAAATACCACAGATGGGCTAGAAGTTGAAAATCAAGGTGTCAGCAGGGTTTGTTCCTTCTGGAGCTCTGAGGGAGATCTGTCCCGGGCTCTCTCCCAGCTCCTGGTGGCTCCAGCTATCCTTGGCTTGTAGCGGCATCACTCCCATGACTGCCTTCATCTTCACGTGGTGTTCTCTGTGTCTCCTTCTAGCAAATCCCCCTTTCCTTTCTCTTTGGAACATACCAGTCATTGGATTAAGGGCTCACCTTCAACCAGGATGACCTTAACTTAATGACATCTGCAAAGACACTACTTCCAAATAAATTTACAGTGTCTGGGGATTTGGACTTGGACATATCCTTTAGGGAGACGATTAACCCAGCGGGTCAGAGCCTGGAGCTGGGCGGATGGCCTGTGTGTTCATTAGAACGAGCTAACTGCTGCAACTAGCGCTTAAAAGATCTTCAGGACTTACCACAGTGTGTTCCCCACTCACATCACGGCAGCTTAAGGTGGGTTGGCAGAGTCCTGAGCCACTCAGGCCCTCAGGGCACTGGCCTCCCTCCATCTAGTGGCCCCACCATTGTGGGGGCCTTCAAACCTCCACCAGACCCTCTGTATCAGGCCAGAGGGTGTAGAAGGTTGGCAAGGAGGTTTTTAGGAGCCAGGCCTGGGAGCTGGGCACTTCACTCCCACATCCTATGGGCGAACTCAGGCCTATGGCCACACCTCACTGCAAGGCAGGCTGGGAAATGTGGTCCAGCTAGCCAGGTAGGCGAAAGGGGGAACACGATTTGAACACCCCCACTCTGTCCCTCTAACACAGATGAGTCACCCCCTCTTCCTTCTTATCCCAGGCTTGCTCACGCACACATACCCGCACAGCTCTTTCCTCCACCGGCGTTACTGTGGACCTGGGGTGTTGTCCCTAACAAGCATGGACATAAAGGAAGAGCCCCCAGATGTGAACAGGCAAAGTTATTTATTCACAGCTGACTAGCAAGAGGTCAGCCCCCATCACTCGTGTCGGGGAGACTCTAGGCAGGAGGGCAGCGGGGCAGCTTCACAGCGGAGCGCAGGGAAGCCCCAGGTGAGCCCTGACGGAGGCTGTGGGGCCTGGCGCGCAGCACGCTCTAGAAGGATTTTTTGGAAGATGAGTGAGGGCTGGCAGTAATGGCCAGGCAGCAGGGAGCACAGGGCCGCGTGAGAGCCTGCCAGGGCTGTGAAGACTGATGAACAGAAAGCCCTCCCCTTCCCCCCTG